CATTGACAAATGAAAATATAGCCTTGAGAAGTAGAAATTCACCCCTGCTCTAGTGTGCCATGGACCCTCCAGACTTACAGGCCTGTCCAGAACAGTAGAAACTAAAATATAGCATCATCTTTTTTATACCAGAGGAAACCCTATGTAAGGATTTGTGCATGCTGTTACAATTTGCATTGTAAATTAAAGGTCCTGCATTGTATAGAACCCCAGACAGAAATGGGATACGGCTGTATAATCTATAGAGGGAACATATAAAGGAAAAAACACAATAGTGTGATACAGTAAATACAGTGAATAGTGCGCTTAAATGGATGCACTCACAAGATGATGAAGATGAAAAAGCATTCATAGGGTGCCTCCCCAGATAGCATAGGGGGCTAGTGGTTTCCCCTATCCGATGTAAAGCGACCAATGGAACACGGGACTCCAGGTTAGTAATAGTAGAAAAGCAATACTTTTATTTTCTTAAAAGGTGAACAAGCACCATAAGAATAAAGGTTTAAAAGTGCAGCAATAGGTCCAACGCGTTTCGTTCAAGACTAGAACTTCATCAGGGACCGCACAGTAAAAAAATCACAGACAATATCATAGATTGTAAAATAACATCCTACTTTCCCCTTAACAAAATCTCTATATATAGGGCTAGTCCCAAAGTCCCATTGGTCCATAGTGTAGGAGTATCCAGTAGCCAGCCAATCATCTATCCAGGGGTATTGTCCTCCAGCTGATAGTGTTTGGGTAGTTTAAAAAGGGCGCGTTCAATGTAAAAGCCGAAACCGGAAGTGGATGTCTGCCTTCACTTCCGCGTTCCATTTGCGTTCCATATGCGTTCCAAACACGCTCCAAATGCGTTCCAAATACATTTACTGCTCTTTTTCAACTAGAACAGCGAGGAGCCATCAATATAAGTGATCATCAAAAGGACAAAGCCCAAAAGTGTTAAATGCATTAAATGTAATTAATCTTTAAAAGAAGAAAAGTGAATTAGTGCATGTAATATACAACAACCATGTTAAGATAGTTCATATGGAACTTCCCCACATATTATATATATGACAATATCATACACCATTGAATAGTGCCATGTATGTCTATTTAAAGTGACAAACATCTCATTATTCAAAAAATAAGAACACAAATAATATATTCCTAAAAAAAGTTCCCTCAATATCAATAATAATCATTTTAAACCATATAACCTGCAAGGTACACCTAACTATATAATATAAAGATTTTTTTTTTTTTTTTATTATATAAATTATGAATTGTATTGATTAAAGACACTTCTTTTTCCCTATATTTAGACTGCCAGAGCTCCTCATATTCCCAAAGATACTTATGGAATAATTTACATAAAGGAGACGTATGTGGACTCTTTCCTTCAAAAGTACGCCCAAGGGGCGCCCTCCTTTATACGGGATACCAAGTCTTTTTTACAAGAACTGGACAGCATTGAGTGGAACCCTGAATACAGTTGGGCCACGCTAGACGTGACCTCTCTGTATACGGTAATTAGTCATTGTTTAGGATTGGAGTCTCTTGATTACTATATGTCCCAAGATCAGGACCTATCTCAAGGTCAAAAGGAATTTATATTGACCTCAGTAAAATTTATTTTGGAACATAATTTTTTCTTTTTTAATGATCAGTATTATCTACAGATCACAGGGACCGCCATGGGCACCAGGTTCGCCCCCAGTTATGCCAACACCTACATGCGTAGATGGGAGGAATTATTCGTGTGGTCGCAGCATGACTGGAGGGAGAACTTGGTGCTCTGGCGGCGCTATATCGATGACGTGATCATCATTTGGAAGGGGTCCTCCAATAGTTTTTCTGATTATGTTCAATATTTAAATTCCAACTTATACAATCTTGTCTTCACCCCCGAGTGGAATAAACATGAGATCCATTTTTTGGATCTTGATATTTTTTGTGATCAGGGTCAAATTCAAACTAAATGTTTTTTTTAAACCAACAGATGGGAATGGCTTTGTACACCAACAAAGCTGTCACCATAAGCCTTGGCTTAGGGGCATAGCACGGAGCCAATTTACCAGATTGAGACGCAATTGTTCTCGCCCTCAAGACTTCCAGACTCAATCTTCCCATATAAAAAATAAATTATGTGCAAGGGGTTACAATAAGAATACGTTAGAAAAAGAAATTCGATCAATTGGTCTCCTTGAACGGAACAAACTCCTGGAGGATAAACCTCCTAATACTGTTGGGAATAAGAATTTTAAATCAGCCTTTGTCACCCAATATAATACGGATCATTTTAAGATCAAAAGGAGCCTAAGTGATTTTTGGCCCATATTACAACAGGATCCCATTTTGGGTAATTCTTTGTCTGAACGCCCGATGGTGATATTTAAGAAAAATAAGAACTTTAAAAATATGCTAGCCCCTAGCTATGCTATTAAAATGAATAGTTCTAATGTATCCCCTGAATCGGGTTGTTTTAGGGGATGTAATGTGTGCAAAGCATGTACCACCGCCTCTATGGGGAGAACTAAGGAATTTATTAGCCATATCACGGGGGAGACTTTCAAGATTAAATCATTAATAGGTTGCCACACGGACTATGTAGTATACTTACTGCAGTGTCCGTGTGGCAAACAGTATGTGGGACGCACGAAACGTATCCTGAAAGTCAGGATCCTGGAACACCTAAATAATATACGTAAAGGACTGGTTACTCATTCAGTCTCTGCCCATTGCAGTAATTGTCCATCCTTCTCCTTTAGAGATTTCAAGTGTATGGGTATCGAACATGTCCTTCCCTACTGGCGGGGAGGTGATAGGATTAAAAAGTTATCCCAAAGGGAAACCTTTTGGATACACAAACTAAAGACCCTTGAACCTAGGGGCCTGAATATTGGGATCGATCTGGTGTGTTTCTTGGACTGATTTTTTGGTTATTCTTCTCCTTTATGTAAATTATTCCATAAGTATCTTTGGGAATATGAGGAGCTCTGGCAGTCTAAATATAGGGAAAAAGAAGTGTCTTTAATCAATACAATTCATAATTTATATAATAAAAAAAAAAAAAAAATCTTTATATTATATAGTTAGGTGTACCTTGCAGGTTATATGGTTTAAAATGATTATTATTGATATTGAGGGAACTTTTTTTAGGAATATATTATTTGTGTTCTTATTTTTTGAATAATGAGATGTTTGTCACTTTAAATAGACATACATGGCACTATTCAATGGTGTATGATATTGTCATATATATAATATGTGGGGAAGTTCCATATGAACTATCTTAACATGGTTGTTGTATATTACATGCACTAATTCACTTTTCTTCTTTTAAAGATTAATTACATTTAATGCATTTAACACTTTTGGGCTTTGTCCTTTTGATGATCACTTATATTGATGGCTCCTCGCTGTTCTAGTTGAAAAAGAGCAGTAAATGTATTTGGAACGCATTTGGAGCGTGTTTGGAACGCATATGGAACGCAAATGGAACGCGGAAGTGAAGGCAGACATCCACTTCCGGTTTCGGCTTTTACATTGAACGCGCCCTTTTTAAACTACCCAAACACTATCAGCTGGAGGACAATACCCCTGGATAGATGATTGGCTGGCTACTGGATACTCCTACACTATGGACCAATGGGACTTTGGGACTAGCCCTATATATAGAGATTTTGTTAAGGGGAAAGTAGGATGTTATTTTACAATCTATGATATTGTCTGTGATTTTTTTACTGTGCGGTCCCTGATGAAGTTCTAGTCTTGAACGAAACGCGTTGGACCTATTGCTGCACTTTTAAACCTTTATTCTTATGGTGCTTGTTCACCTTTTAAGAAAATAAAAGTATTGCTTTTCTACTATTACTAACCTGGAGTCCCGTGTTCCATTGGTCGCTTTACATCGGATAGGGGAAACCACTAGCCCCCTATGCTATCTGGGGAGGCACCCTATGAATGCTTTTTCATCTTCATCATCTTGTGAGTGCATCCATTTAAGCGCACTATTCACTGTATTTACTGTATCACACTATTGTGTTTTTTCCTTTATATGTTCCCTCTATAGATTATACAGCCGTATCCCATTTCTGTCTGGGGTTCTATGCATATGTTAAGATCGTTTGTTGTGGATAACGATCCTGGGAGGCTGCATATTGATTGAAGTTAAGTAATTTATTTAATTAGAACACTTATCTAAAGGTGTTCGTTTGTTTGTTTTCTGTTCCTGCATTGTATAGTGCTGGACACACTGCTCATCGGTTGTTTTAATGCTCGGTGAGATACCGCCGTGGGTCATTACAGGATTTAAAAACACAATCTGTCAAAGGAAAAAAAAACAACTGAAATATCACAATATATTAATATTGCAGGCAGTTGGCATCACATTGCCCTTTCCTGTTACGCTGCCTTTATAGGATGTAAATTGTATGCTTACAGAAGGTTTGCATAGACAGCATTTTATGGCTTACATTACACTACAGATAATATGTGGCAGGCAATCATTATATACAAGTACACGAAGCCAAGCATGTCAGTTCATTGCCTACATAAATGTTCAAGCTTGTAAAAAAGCTGCCCTCCAATGTTTAACAATACGAATATTGTACATATTAATGAGACTCTATCTACCATATGGGAGTAGTTTTTAGAACAGTTTTCAGGAGCAGGGAAGCTTTGGGATTTTAGATTCTAGATTGTTAGTTCTACGGAATCCTGCCCTGTCAATGTTAAGTGAGTATGTCTATTTATATAATATATACAGTGCCCTCCACTAATATTGGAATCCTTGGTCAATAAGAGCAAAGAAAGTAGTTTTAGGGATGGGATTGGGAGTGTTTCCAGGGCTGGGGTTGTTCTGAGATAATGTAGGTGACTTACTAATAACAATGTATGCTACTAAAATGTAATTTAGAACAAGAACAATGTTTGTTATTTACACAGACTGATTTCTACACACATTTATTGTAGTTTAAAGATACATTATTATGAGTATTATTGCTGTGCAGTGTGTTATACTCTCAGACACCCCAACAATATGGAACTCTTCTAAAAGAGGGACATTAGGATAGAAAAGAGAGAGCAGAGGGAATAGGATATAAAAATAGGGACACAAAATAAGGACTTTCCATCCAAAATAGGGACACTTGGGAAGCATGCGTAGTTGTAAAATGGGGTATATCATCTCAAAAGTAGGACACCAGAGATACAACCAGAGCAGCCTTGTAGGGTTCTAAACTTGCTAACACATACGGGACTATTGTTAACTATGACATTTGAAAAGCTTCATCTGTACAGTATTAAAAGTTAAGAGTTCCTTTCCCATCAGAATGGAGGACATCGCAATATAGCATTGAAAGGAACACCCAGAGTGATTTAACAGCAGTACATGTAATCTGGAAAAAAGCAAGACCCTGTCAATGTAAAATATGCAATGATAAATATTTTATGCACTTTTTGTGCCCCTTGGCTTTTTAGTCCTGATTTTGACACACTGCAATTCCTACCAGCACCTGCTGAGCCCTGCACTTTACTAACACACCTAGAGCGACTATTTAAAGCAATCGCTTACTCTGCAAATCCATCACAAATGTTAAATAACATGATATTTGCAAGATCCCAAGTAAAACTAGCCAGTGGCATGGAAAAAGAACAAAAGACAATACATCCAGTGGGTCACATTTAACTGGACTGCAAATGAGTTATTTTAGTTGGCTCCACGCATGCCAGAGGGATAGCAGATATATGCCAAACCACACGGCAAACAAGGTACATCACGTCAGATTTATGAAGACAAACTAGATGCTATTCTGGGACAAAGTGCTATATTTTATGGGATTTTTCATGGGGAATACACCTTATTTGCAACTTTTTCCATAATTACACCTGTCTTTACCTTTATACATTTGTCCCATCAAGTCTTGAAGTTTTCCAAGCAATATTACATGGCTAAACCTCTAAATAAAGTATGAATCAAATGCAAAAATATATTTAAAAATACCTCTTGAGAAAGTATAAGATCAGAAAACAAGGGGGGTGGCGCGGGGAGCGACTGCTGAAGTGCTGGACTGCCTATGAGCTGAGCAATACAGCAGTGGACTTGTATGGACTGAAATTTCCTGCCATGGCCTTGGTTAACATTTGCAAACATGTTCGTTGACCAATCTTCATTAATACTTTTAAGAAGCAGGACCAAAAATTAAACAATATAGGGGACAGGATTTCCAGATCAGAGATGGACAATCCCATCCCAGTCCATTGGGCTGGGCTGTCTTAACGCATAGGCACACTGGGCAGTTGCCTGGGGGCCCCACAAGCATAGTGGCCCCATAGGCATGCCAACGTTTCTGTATATTGTTACAGGATATTTATTTAGAACCATCAAACCCTCTTTATTAAAACATTTAGGTGGACTAATCACCTTTTATATGCACACAAGATCTTGCTGTTGCGAATAGATATCTTGACCTTGACTAAAACAACAAATACGTACTAATTGTACATAAGCAAGACAAAATCAACACACATCATTTTTTGAAATAATTTATATTTTCATTCATGTGAGGGTTGTGTAGGCAGGGCCCATGGGCCTATAATGCTGTTAAGATGGTGCTGCTCTTGGGTGTTAATGAATAGCATGGAAGCCAAGAACACTTCAATGGTATGGGGGGGGGAAAGGGAAGATGAAATATTGGAACTCTCCATGACTGAACAAATACCAAATTTCATATAGATTGAGCAAATAGACAAATATATGACTATAATGTTAGGGTGCTTGCAGTGTCCCTTCGAGTTTTAACTTCTTCATAACAGGTACAGTGCCACTTATTTATAACCGAAACTGTACAGTGCACACTGGACATTTAACCCCTTAAGGACCAAACTTCTGGAATAAAGGGGAATCATGACTTGTCACACATGTCATGTGTCCTTAAGGGGTTAAAGTACTATCAGAAAGTAGGTCTCACTGGGAATCGGTAACACCAGGCTATGTCTCACTAATTAGATGTCTCACTAATTAGACATCATAGAAATAGTTATGGATATGCCTACTGCTATCATGCAGCATGGAGGTCTTCTATAAGAGTGTATATGCCTGTTGCTGGAAGCCTCACTCACTCACAGCCAGCCACAGAGATCTGAGGCTGTGATTGACAGAGGATGTCCGGTTACAGCAGAGCATGTCTGGATCAGCTGTCAGAGGGCTATTGATTGCTGCCTCACTAGTGAAGCAGTCCAGCAATGGTCATTAATTTGCTCACAGGCTGCTTTATCACGTTGGGAGCCAATCACAGGGATTGCATGTCTTACCTGCCACAATAGCAATTTATTCACTGTGACCGACTCTAGCTAGGATCATTCAGCATGGGAGCAACACACAAAAATGTAATATAACTAGCAGATTTGGCAGAGGGCGGTGATCAAATGGTTAAATGAAAAGTATCAAAACATTTTGGTTTAATTTTGTGGAGTGGTTTTGAATTCTGTGACTGCTATTAAAATTATAGGCTCAGCATGACAAGGTTTAGCTTTAAAACCATAATTCACTACTTGCAATATTTGTCCTGCATATTCCAAAAACAATGAAACCTGAGGCATATTGGAAATTTCACCGATCAGGACTAATATTATTTATGGTAAAGTGGGGACATACAGTGGAACAAATACATAGCAAAAGGCCTAAATTCATGGAATTCACGAAAAGCACCAGTCACTGAGTGATTAGTAAGCATGCACATTTTCAAAGCACTAGAAGTGTCCCTTTAATTACTAGAAATTAGGCTTTATTTCTTACGACCAGTTAGTTTTGCTTTCTGCTACATTTGGTAATGTCACAGTGACAGGTAATGAGAAATAGCAGGTCCTTCTCTACTTTTTAGATAGTGAGGATCTTGGATTAATAAAGACTTGAATGCTCATAAAATTCCTTCTCCTGAATGTGTAGGAGGCCACATTTTATTCATATTTTATTTTATGTTGGCTATTCCTTAACAAGCTGAGTAGCTAGACAGCATTCCGAGTGACATTCTGCTAATGTTAAGGGGTTAAGTAAATGAATAAACAAGGGGGAACAAACTTTAGCATGAAGTCTTTCATCCAGTCAATCTATAGCTATATCCAGATGGTGCTACTTTCCCCGCAGGCTCACACTAATCACAGTGTTACCAACTTGGTACCTCATTCACTGTATTCTACACAATGCATCGCTAGAGCCGACTTCCTTTGTACTGTAATTCCACAAAGTGTTGCACATTACAATGAAATTACTGCAAGAGAGCAAATAAGCATGGTTAAACCTGTGCACTAAGTGATTTAAAGCAGAGGTTTACACGCCAGCATTTATAGTTTCTACTGGCAGAAGGTTACTGGGGAGTGCAAGGAGAGGGAGCCAGTTGTGGATGCCTCCTTCCCAAATGCATTATTGTATTAATTCTTTGTACTAAATCCTTGGCTTAGTTATCACACATATACTCTACGGAAGACTTAGAGATTTATTTTGTGCCGATCAGCAATTCGGCAGAATTGAGCCACACAAGATCCTGGCTGATTTCTCGAACTCCGAGCAGAAATGTACCCGAATCACAGACTAGCTGAACTGTGCAATGCTGAAACATGTTCAGATCAGGGTCATGATTCTGTCTTCTATCTGCTGTTCCAAAAAAAGAGATGATTGATAGGAAAAAAACAGATTTTTGATGACTAGGTGACAGTCAGTAAATATATATTTGTAAGCCCTCTCGTTACTTATGTATATGTGAACCAAATGGTGTGAAAATGCAACTATCGTATGTATGTATGTATGTATATATATATATATATATATATATGAAACAAGGGGGGTTATATTATATATATATATATATAGTTATAAGCATATATATATATATACTTATTTATTTATTGCAGCACTCTGGCCCATTTTCACCCTCTTTTCCTCCCCTTGGGTTCTGACTTGGGTTCTCTGATTGGCATCTTGGTTGCAAAATTCTGACAACCAGAACCGACATTTGGGTGTCCCAGATAATATTCTTTTTTTTTTTTTTTTTAAATGGTTCAGCCAAGCCAGATTGTGTCACTGTGCACAAGTCTACTCTGTGGTCACTCAGAGTATGGCAGAGTTTACTAAAGTGTAGCTCCACCCTTCTCCCTTCTACAAGGCTATCTTAATGAAACCTCTACTACTTACAGCCATACAGGTATGCTGGTCGTGGGTGTCAGAGGCATATTTAAAACACTGGTAACCCTAATTGTATTTTGCAGTCAGGTAGAGTTGTCAATTGTCACCCTCCCCCCAGAATTCAAAAATTTCAAGAGACACCTCAAGCACCAACAGCAACTGTAGTTTATTGTAGCTGTTATGATGCTAACAGTTAATTTGTGTTTTCACCTCCAATGTATCTCTTCTCTGTCTCTTCACCTCCAGCCACGTTCCCACACACACAAAAGGATTTCTCTTCCTCTTTGTGTCCCTCTGCTAACCTACCCTCTCCCTGCCTTTAACAATCATGTCATCTACTCATTTGGCAATGTGAACCAGTGGAACTGTGCCAGAGAGTGAGCATGCTACTTTTCTTGGTCTGTCAGTTCAGTGTGGAACACAGAGAGTGCAGTGAGTGAAGTGAGTGGGGATTAAACATCATATCCTATCTCTCTCTCTCCACCGCATGGTGTACTCCACACTACTCTAAATGGCCAAGCAGAGGGACACGCTCACTTTATGAAATTTCAAAGCTGATAGAGGGTGCACTCGCCTCCTGGCTCTCACTAAGGGCAGACCACGCCTATGTAATACTTCAGTATCTTCACATGTTGCCCAGCCATGCCCAAAGTCTAGCCAACATGTAAAACTGGCAAATAGAATGGGCTGAACAACAAGGGAAGGGGGTTCTTGATTATGCTGAAGAGTGGGTAGAAACTGGAATGTGTAGGATTGTGAAGAGAATAGAGGAGCATTGTGCATGAAAGCAGAAATGGAAGGTCAGCCATGCTTTTCCACCTCCCTTTGCTGTGTATGAGCAAATAAGCCCTGTGTTTGTTTTGCACCATACAAGTCCACATAATGTACTGTAAATGTGCAAAAACTGTGTCTGTCCAACCAAAACTGGGACAATGAGGTAAGGGTGGTGGTGGGGGGGGGAGATTTAGGGCAGGAAGGAGAGCAGGGTGTATATGGATAAACTCTGAGGAAACCTACCAGACAAGATGGATGAATT